AAGACAGATTAGCGGTTGCCAGGCGTTGGAGTTAGAGGTGCAGAGATGGGGAAATAGGTGTGGTTATAAAAGGGCAACAATGAAAGACTCCTGTGGTTTTTGGAAGTGTTCAGTATCTTTTAAAAAAAATTTTTTGTTAATGTTTATTTATTTTTGAGAGAGAGAGAGCATCAGTCGGGGAGAGACAGAGAGAGACAGGGAGACACAGAATCTGAAGCAGGCTCCTGGCTCTGAGCTTCAGCACAGAGCTTGAACTCATGAACCATGAGATCATGACCTGAGCCAAAGTCGGAAGCTCAACTGACTGAGCCACCAAGCACCCTGGAACTGTTCGATATCTTGACTACGGTGGTAGATACACAAACCTACCCAACTGGTAACATTGTATTAATACACACACACACACACACACACACACACACACACACACAGTGGTACAAGTAAAACTAGAGAAATTTAAATAAGATCAGTGGGTTTTATCAATGTCAATATTCTGGATATGATATACTACAGTTTTGTAAAATGTTATTTAGAGACACTGACAAAGTGTACAAAGGATTTCTCTGTATTATTTCTCAAGTATGCATGAATCTACATTTATCTCAGGAAATTTTTCAATTAAAAACATCATGGGGGAGAGAAAAAAATGTAAGAAGACCATTCTCTTAGTTTTAACTAAGAGAAAACAACCAAATGAAATGTGCAAACCTTGACTACATCTTGAGAGACAGCTGGGAAATTTGAGAATGCACTATTTTCCAGCTATTTCAACAAGATGTGCTATGTAAACAAATGTTCTTATTTTTGGAGGATTCATGTTTACATATTCTGGTGAAGTGACATGATGTTAGCAACTTTCAAAAGATTTAGCAAGAAAACAAGAGTGTATAAAGAAAGATAAAACAAATGAGCAAATGTGGCAAAATTTTAACAACTATTAAACCTAGGTTGATCTACATTACAGTTGCTACAATTATCCTGGTCTTTCAACATTTTTACATTTGATAGTTTCCAAATAAAAAGCTCTCAGAGTTCACTCATTCATATGGTCTTTTCCTTGTCCCCCATCTTTACTGGTATAAATCCAGCCATCCTATAAAGGACATGCCCACACGCAACCTTACCCACAATACTTTCCTAGATTCTTTAACTCCTATGCCTGCCTATGACTTTTGACTAGATAATAAGCCTCTAGAAAGCAGGTACTAGGTTTTGTTCATTTTCTCATTTTTTTGTCCTTTCACAATTCTAGCAATTTGATTGAAATCACATCATCTATCACAAGCCAAGCTTTATGTTTCATAATAGATTACAGATGGTGTATGTAGGCCAGAGGTCCCAAGTGCTGGCTAGTCTACTAGCTATATCACAATCACCTGGGGAATCTTTTTCTAAAAAGACCTACTGAATCTCAGACCTACTGAATCTCAATCTCTGGATATGGGCCTAGAAGTCTATGTTTTGTTCTGCTCATGGGGAGTGGGGAGAGGCCACTCCAATTACTGAATGTATTGCACCCAAAAAAGCAACAAAAGCCTCATTGGGGATCTTGCCTATTGACACCTCAGAAACTCCACTAAGCCACTCTACCCACACTCGATACAGGGTGAAAAGTGAGAAAAAAGATGACTTTGAGCCAATTATGGAGACATATTAGCAGTGAACTTCCTCAAAGTTTCCCAATCATCATGGCCAAAGGTTTTTTGATAGGTTTGTACAGGTCCACCAGCTGCTCAGGAAATATGTACTTGCTAGGGTGATTGGGAAATTTGAAGTCTGGGGTCATACTTCCCAGACCTGAGGAATTTAAAGGCAACTATGCCCGTGCCAGTTACACCACTACCGACCTAGCCAGCTTTCTGAATTGCATTCCATAGCTGCTCTGGGGCGTCTTTATTCTCTAGGATGTTAGGAGCAAAACTCCCTTCAACCTGGTATTAACTTTCTGTTGCTGCCATAACAAACTACCACAAATTTAGCAGATTAAATAACACACATTTGCTATCTTAACATTCTGTATGTCGGAAGTCTGACATGGGTCTCACTGGGCTAAAATTAAGGTGTCAGCAGGGTTTAATTCCTTCGTGGAAGTTCTAGGGGAAGATCTATTTTGTTGCTCATTGGGATCTTAACAAAATTCAGTTCCTTAAAGATGTAGGACTGAGCCCACATACATTTACTGGCAGGCTGTCAAACAAGGACCATTCTCAGCTACTAGAGATCACCCATATCCCTTGGCTTGTAACCCCTTCCTCCTTCAAAATGAGCAACATAACTCTCTGCTCTTCTTCCATTGTCATCTCACTCTGACCACATAAAGGAAAAGTTCTCTGCTTTTAAGGACTCATGTGATTACACTGGGCCCAACCAGATACTCCAGGACAATTTCCCCATTTCAGGGTTAAACGACCTTAATCACATCTGCAAAATCCCTTTTGCCAATGTAATGTTCCAGGATCAAGAGATGAACATCTTTGGGGAATATTATCCAGCCTACCACAATCCCCTACACTGGTTTTCTCATATTTCCTTGATGGCATTTGTTCAGGTGTGGTAAGTTTTAGAGCTAATGAATGACTTCCCTGAAGTTTGCTGACAGGGGGGATCACGAACTTCACCACCAGCCTGTTGCCAGCATAACCATCCCTGATCACAGCAAAAGCTGGAACTGGCAGGATGACTTCAGAATTGCCAGCAGACTCACAATTCTGTGTCAGCACAGGGAATCCCCTTTTCAGCAGCTCCAGTCTCCCAGGCAAGATATTTCTAATATGGTGCTCGCACCAAATTTAGACCTATTCTTAGAGCCATCCACCCCTAGTCAATTGGTCAGTCCTCTTCCGTTCCACAACATTCAGTTGCTTGCTAATCAGGCAGGCCCAACAGCTTTATTGATGTGCTTGATAGCCTTTGAGATATAGCGTCCCATGGAGAGTCTGTCTTGTTATTGTCTTAAGCTCTAGGGTCTCATACCAGTTGAGGCACCAATGAATACGGCTCTGAAGAGACCTTTTTCTATGCAGGGCACATCTCAAGAATGGGATTTCCTCAAGAACCAAAGATGTCTCTGACAGAGAGCTTGAGAAAAGGTGTGGTGATTTCTCCTCCTATTTCTTGTTGCACAAAAAAAGAGGCAGAGCAAAGGGCAGTGTAGAGGTCAACCGAGATCGCTCAATAAGCTCACAGGTCTCCCATTTATTTCCCTGAATTCTTGTTCCACTCAGCTTCTCTTTTGCTACATGTTTTTTGAAGCTCCCTAAATTATTCTGATGTGCAGCCAGATATGGGAAAACTGGCATGGGTTTTTAAGGGAAAAAAAAACTTTTATGGTTATAAAACTTTTTTATTGAAGTATAATTAATATACGGTATTATATTAGTTTCAGGTGTACAACAAAAAGGTTCCACAATTCTATACATTACTCAGTGCTTACCACTGTAAGTATGGTTATCCTCTGTCACCATTTTTACAATTTTATTGACTGTATTCCCTATGCTGTACTTCTTATCCCTGTGACTTATTTTGTAACTGGAAGTTTGCACCTCTTAATCCCCTCCATTTTACCCATCCTCCCACCCACCTCCCCAGTTTGTTCTCTGTATTTGAGTCTTCTTTTTTTTGTATTTGTTGTTTCTTAAATTCCACATACAAGTGAAATCATATGGTATTTGTCTTTCTCTGACTTATTTCACTTAGCATTATACCCTCTAGGTCCATCCATGTTTCTACAAATGCCAAGATTTCATTCTTTTTTATGGCTGAGTAATATTCAATTCCATGTTTATACCACAACTTCTTTATCCTTTCATCTATGGATAGACACTTGGGTTACTTCCCTATCTTGGTAATTGTAAACAATGCTGCAATAAACACAAGGGGTGCATATATCTTTTTGAATTAGTGTTTTTGTTTTCTTTGGGCAAATACACAGTAGTGGAATTACTGGATCATATGGTAGTTCTATTTTTAATTTTTTGAGGAACCTCCATACTGTTTTCCACAGTGGCTACACCAATTTGCATTCCCACCAACAGCGCACAAGTGTTTCTTTTTCTCCACATCCTCCCCAATGCTTATCATCACTGGTCTCTTTGAATCTAGCCATTCTCACAGATGTAAGGTGACTTTTCATTTGTGGTTTTGATTTGCATTTCCCTGATGATTAATTATGTTGACCAGCTTTTCATGCATCTGTTAGCCATGTGTATGTTTTTGTTGGCAAAATGTCAATTCAGGTCCATTTTTTAAATAGATTATTTGTTTTTTGGTGTTGAGTTGTATAAGTTCTTTACATATTTTGGATATTAACCCCTTATCAAATATATCAAATATTTGCAAATATCTTCTCCCATTTAGTAGGTTGCCTTTCATTTTGTTGATGGTTTCCTGTGCTATGCAAAAGCTCTTTATTTTGGTGTTGTTCCAATATGAAACTTTTCAAACAGAAGAGGTACATTTTATTAGTCATGAAGGAAAGCATCTTTCAAGCTAAATTACAGTATATTTATTACATGATATATAATCACAACCACCAAGCCAGTTTCAAAAAAGACAAATTTCATATTTTAATTTATTCAGTAAGGAGACATTAAAAATACATAAAGGCCTTTTGACCCCTTCTTCCCTACTCCCTAAATTTTATGTTTAAACCTGACACATATTTTGTAACACTAATTTTTTTTCTGTATTAGAGCTTTTCAAGGTAATGATTATAAACGCAACTAACTTGAGAGAACAGGAAATAAACACATTCACCTGCTGTTTTCTAGCTCATTACCTCCTTTGTCATTAAGATGATAATGCTAGAGAGATTAATGTTTGGGTATGAATTGCAGATACAATTTTTACATTTTCCATAATCTTGAGAAAATTTTCAGTACTATATAATCAAAAAATCAATTCCAAATACACCTGCACACATCTTATAAAAATACATTTAAAAACAAGAATAGGAAAAATTCTAAATACGGGGTCATTATTATTCTGAAGGTGAGCTGGCATCATGAAGAAGCTTTGAGTCCTTTATCTTTTTCAGGATATTCTTCCACATCAGAGGAGAACATCAACTCTGGGAGAGAAAATGAACAGATCTTACTCAAAATGGTTTCCCAGTACCTCAAAATGAGTTTTACAGCTTAGTTATAAACAGATTCTCAAAATATTGACATATTCAATACATATAAAGAACACTCTCAAGTACAAATAAGAATTTTTAATAATGAAATCTGATTTAAAAGGTGAGTGAGGAGCACATGAGTGGTTCAGTTAAGCATCCGACTTTTTTTTTAAGTATATTTATTTATTCTGAGAGACAGAGAGAGAGAGAGAACAGAGGAAGGGCAGAGAGAGAGGGAGAGAGAGAATTCCAAGCAAGCTCCATACTGTCAGCACAGAGCCTGCTTGGAATTCTCCCTTTATCTCTCTCTGCTCCTCCCCTGCTCATGCTGCTCTCTCTCTTTCAAAATAAATAAATAAACTTTTAAAAAATAAATAAAAGGCAAGTAAATGACAAATGTACAAATAGTGCATTTTAAAATGTTTAAATTTTAAATGTACTGTAAACCACTGAAAAATAAAACATATATAATGGAGACAGTAACGCTTACCAGAAAATTTAAGTCACTTAGAGAACCTGGGATTATTAAACAGCTAAAAGGTCTAATTCTATAGTGACCATGATAACCTACAACGGAGGGGCAGATGAAGAGCAAGGACTTGGGACTGACACGAGGCATGTGCCCGTTTATCTTAAATGTCTGATCCCATTTAATCACCATAACAACCCAATAAGCAAGTTATTATCATCCTCATTTTATATTTACACTTTTTATCCACATAGAAATAAAAATGTTTTATGACTCACACGGCCCTAAAAGAGAGTAGGATCCCAGAAATCTGCACAAAGCCAGCTCGATCCAGCTTCAATCCCAATCATAGTGTGGGATGTTATTAGTTGACATTTCTACATGTAAACTATTACTTAGCATATAGGTGTGTGATTTATCAAAATATCAAGACATAAAGAAAAAGAAGACCTTAGGAATTTAGTAAAATAAAGTCCTCCAATATAAATATTACATGAAAAATTCCTTGAATGACAAAACTATGCTGAGTGAAAATAGGAAACAGCAAAATACATAAAGCCTCAGACAACTTGTAAATATACTTCAAATACTCCAAAAGGAACAAAGCAACAGAATATTCAGTGAAGGAACATGAGAATTGTGATGCAAAAGGTACATTTGTGAATAAGAATATACCAGATTTAGTTTTTACAAATGGAAATATTGGAAAGATTCTCAATTCTTAGACTTCTGAGGTTATAATTAGTTGATCAAATCACAAAGGCTCAGGATATTTAACCAATCAAGAATAAATAACCAAAGTCCAGAAAACATCAAAGAGATTCAAGGGTGAAACTCGGGAACATCTGCTAAAGAAATACAAGTTACACTAGAAATACTAAGCAGTTCCTAAAGCAGTTCTCAAGGGCTATCAGGTTGCTAATATGATTCCCCTTCTCCAGATGTTCCAGAAAGGGTCTGGGGACAATAGATTAGTAAATCTCACTTTCCACCAAGCACACTAAAGCTAGGATTACTACATATTCCATTCGACAATGAAGGGTTAAGAATTTGTGCCGGGTAGAGGAGGTAAGAATGAATATGTCTGATAAAAGCTACATAGATGAAGCATCATTTATTTCAAATTAAGAGATACTTTGATCAGAAGGAGATCAAAAGAAATGAAGAGCAAAGACTCTCTATAAAATACTTGAAGGGTTCCAAGAGAAGAATTACCTCCTAAATATAAATATGTACATGGGCCACAGAAGACTTTCACTAAGTACTCTAGGGCTCCAACTCTCTTAGACTCTCACTGCTTCTCCTGGCATTGTTTCACCACTTTACTGTTACTCTTCTTTCATTATTTTACTTAAAACACAGCTTTGTTATCAGAATATTATAAGCTATATTCAATAAAAGAAAATTTATAAAGTCAAAAGATTTCATGATATTCTGATACTATTTCTTCTTTAATACCTTCACTAAGATCCATGCCTGGCCTGTAAGACAAAAAAAGCCATGATAGTCCAACCAGAAGGGCCACCACCAGATTCACTACAATCCATGGCTGGAGAACCTGTTCCTCAACTCCTGCTGCCCTAAAGACACACAAACACTCATTAGAAATATCTTCATTTAGGTTCATATATCCAAATATATCTCTTTAAGGAACTTTAAAAAAATTCGTTCTCACCTAGAGAAACAACAAGCATGAAATAAGTATACAACATATAATTTCCCTATAAAATACACCATATATATATATATATAAATACACACACACACACACACACACACACACACACACACACACACACACAC